TTCATCTGAATAAAATATTTTGTGGTAGGATTATAATTAAATTCACGAAACAAATGATCTAGAAATGGAAACCTGCATGAAACTTCCCTTCCGCAAAAAAACTGTAAAAAGTTCTCAATTTTTTGAATTGTCCTACATTAAAGCTAGATAAAAAATTGCACAAAGCTTTTCAGATCTGACAATCAGAGATTATTTTGGAAAAAAAATAAATACACTTAAGTCCTCTTTCTAGACGATGGAGAATACATATTTATACTTAGACAAGTGTATCAAGTTGCAGGAAAAAACTTGCCTAGGGGGTACTGGTACTTATCATTATCCAGTTCAACTAATGCCACTGACCCGAAAATTTCATTCATGATCGAAAAAAGCATCTAAAAGAATAGAAATATGAAGATATCAGAAGGATTTGATAAAGACACAGGAACTGCTTGCTAACATTCAAAAAATGACGTCATTTCACACGAGAGATGAGCAAAAGAAAGCTGTATTTAAGAAGAAAATTTAAGATGAAATCTATTCTAAATTGCATCTCCCATTCCACCTGGTATATTACGGCCCAGATCACCAGAAAAAAAATTAACCTGAGAGGTCACCATTCCGTGCACACCACCCACAAAAACAGTTTTTTTAGGATCGGGTGAGCTGACTGTGTCGGGAATACAAGAAATATCAGATACCACCCAAGGAATAACCTGGACCTGAAAAAGAGAAACCTTTTCTGTTAATGACTGTAACTGTCATAGTTTTTCAACAAAAAATATAAATCATTTAAGAAAAACTAGCTGATGTATGCAAAGACAAAAAAAAACTGCCTGTCGAACTTCCGTTGCAGAATGAGTGCGCCGAGTCGATATTTTAAAATACCACTCCCCAGCCGAACCAAGTTCTTGTTTGCATTCCTGGAATTATAGACTATTCTATATTCTAAAGTTACAACCCATCATACCACACTTCCCAACCTTGTTCTTGAAAAACTCATATGACGCATTTCTGAACCCATCACCTAACAGGAAATGAAAGAGGTGAAGGAGCGAGTGTGAAATAAAGCAGCAGAAAAAAAAAACCAAGCCACGTGAAAATAACCTGGAGCAGCTTCCTGATGGAGGAACCGTCATTATAGACAATGTAAACATAACCAAACGCTTTTGGACGGCGAGTTCCGTAAAGCTGCAAATGAGAAACTCGCATTTCCTTAATCGGCCACTCTACACGACATGTTCCAAACTTGTTGAACGCCTAAGTTCAATTAAGAAAATAAGAAGGCCGGGTTTGGTAAATAATTGCTAAGTGATTACTTTGAACTGTAATAAGGAGTTTGAGCAACTGGCTAGAGAATACAAAAAACTATTCAAATTTCAAAGCAAATATCTGTTACCGTTACAAGGTCATTTTCATTAGCATCCCACGGTATACCGCCAACAAAAACCTTGCGCGAAAATATTGGATTTACGTAATTGTGAATAGGAAGTTCACCACACCAAATTGCAGGTTTTCCTGGTGTTACAGAGCGATAAACAACGCCAAATGCATCTGGCCCTCCGTTTACTGCTTCATAACCCTCTGGTGCTTTCTGAAATTCACCCATCTACAACCCGCCTAACATACAAAACTTCACATTGAATTCTTTCAGCGTAGCTGATGTTGTAATCCGCAGTAAGCTTCCAAACCAAGGCTGAAACATACACAGTTAACATTCAATTATAATGTAATAACTTAACGTCACCAACATACTGCGTGCTTGGCAAATATATTTCACCAGAAGTGACATTTAAAACCGTACTTAAAAAAAAGATACTTAACTGATGCCCAGTGTTTCTGATGTGACAGTATTAAAAGTAAATTTGCTTCTACCGCAATACTCAAATTAAAAGTGCACTAGTAATGTGATATTAGACTTCTGTAAATCAACAGCTCTTATCCTGCCTGCTTTTAACTTCAGCTGCTAAAGAACAGACATCTGAATCAACTAGAAGCCAGCAAACGGAAGACAAACAAATGCAAAAAAAGAGGGTTTAGTGAATCACAATAATAAAAATTGATGCTGATAACACTGCAGCGAATCCTTATGGGAGAACGATGAAAGCTATTTCAGTGTGCTTAAAAAAGGTTCTGTTCCAGTGAACAAGCTATGACTGCGTAGCAGCCCGTCTTTATTTACCGTCAGGAGCAACCGTCGTCGTTACTCGTGGTCGGATTTCCGCTACACCGTCTCCTTGCAGCGGCTGCAAAGGCCATCATTTCAGTGATGTTCCGCAGTGGTTAGTTGTTGCTTTTCAGAATTATAGTCAACGATAATTTTGAACATAAGGGCTTAATCAACTTACAGCCGAAGTTGCCTTCGAACGTACAGGTTTCAAAAGTTGTTGCCTGCGACAGCAGTTTCACAAAAACATAGTCACGCAATTAAACAGAAACATATCTAAACACTGAACAAGGCCTGACTTTCTCTCTGATTCTTGAACGTTATCGTATGATTCAAAATTACAGATTTGTACTTGTTGACCCTTTCACCAATTGAAGTTGCATAAAAATTTTCCCAGCGAATGCTCCACGTTCAGTAATATTTTGAAATTGTACGCTGTTTATTCCAGCCCTAATAGTAGCAATGACAGCAGAGCATTAAGCAAAAACTTTCACTGGCCATAGATGGTAATGCGCAAATTGCTTCTACAAATCATGCAAAAAATAAATCACATTAGAGACAAAACCATAAAAAATTCTTGAAATTTTAAAAATGTACTGTAGGGAAAAGGCAAAATTTATAACAAAAGTAACGGACGTAAACAAGCGATTGTTTTGAGTGACGACCCATAGGCAAATGAATCACTTTAAGTAAAAAAAATAAACTTAGCCGGTCTCCAATTGCAGGAATTAGTAACATTTTCTGCAGATCTTTCGAAACTAGTTTTATAGAAGTAAAAGCGATAACGATTTTTGCAGGGTCAGCTCTCTCAAACAGCTTCATATAAGTTTTACACGTGCGAGTAGGTGCCGACACAAAGAGCGCTTTAATGAATGCGCTTTATCTTTCTCAGAACAGTGAGAATTTACCGCTGTTTAACGATAGAGCGGCAGAACCAGAAACAATTATATCTAAACTATTCGAGGATGTTCACAGAAAAAGCAGAATTGGGAGAGGGAAAGAGCTAAAACAAACTGAAAGAAACTTGAGGTTTTCAAAAAAAAAATTTTGAAAATTCAGTTTCAGGGTTAGTGGTGAAGTGTTTTCTGCAACTCAGCGAAGGAACGCATTAATGACACTTGTCAAACAGATTAATAATTGCCTATTAGTTTTTCCGAATTACTGTCCCTACTGAGCTATTTCATCATTCATGCTAAGAAAAACTTTAAATATTTTCACATGATGCAGTTGACGACGTCAATATCTTTTGCCAGCTGCCACCATCTGAAGCACTCAAGACAGATCTCTAAAAGGTACGCTGGCACGCAGCTAAAAAACTTCAGGTCGATTCCGTGAGCGGTAAAGTTATGCTGTTAAAGATGAATTTGTGGCTTGTCATGGTACCCTGGAGATTACAAAGCATCCGTATTCAGAATATTTATGCTGAAGCAACTTCCTAAGCAGTTAAGTTCCCATATTATGTTTTCGTGGAACCATTGATAGATGGTAAAAATCCCGTGGTGTTTCAGAAGTGGAGAGAACTGAAAAGACGTTGAATCCATAACGGATATGAGGTGCGATAGCTTAAAAGCGCATTGGTATGGCTGAATAACTAG